ATAAAATAGCATTAAAGACGGTACTGAATTTTGTAGAATATATTTTATTTAAAATTCCGTCTTATATTTTTATTAAATATACGTTAAGTAGGATTATACGATTTAAATTACGAATATTGATTATTATACGGCCCTTTTTAGTACCGTCGGATATATTTTTCTAAATAATAAAGACGGGAAAGTTGAAAGGTGTCTAAAACGTTATTCTAATAATTTTATTATTATATTCCAAGTATTTAATTATATTCGTAATAATTTTTAAATTTACGGCCTTAAGTAAATATATTTTATATTTCTTAAGGATATTGTTTTCCTATCTAGGCTTTATCGTAGCTTTTATTTATTAATCGTCTTTAATCGTTACGAACCCTTTATTTTTAAAAACGTTTTAGTAGTAATATAGGAATACTTCAATACGTTAATCCTTATTAATTTAGAGTAAAATCGTTACGCTATTATCTAATATACGGTTATTAAATTTATTTATTATAATTAATAGAGGCGGTATATTATCTTTATTTAATTAATAAGTTACGAAAGTTATTATATCTATATAGAATATTTTATCAACCTTACTAATATAAGTAATAGGATTGAAAGTACTAATATAGCCGACGGTTATATTTTTTATAATAGTAAGTAAGCGATTTCCTAGGTTAGATAGGAAAATATAATATAAATAATAATTCATTTGTTAAACCTAAAATATATATTATATAATAGGTTAGAATAGAAAGTCTTATCCGTTATTATAATAAATATAATAATCTACCGGGAAGAATATAATCGTCCTTAATAGAATAACGACGTATTAAATATATTTAATTACAGCGTTAATAGAATTTATATAACGTTGGAGAGAATACAATATATAAATACCGTATAATAATATAATAATAAAATCTTTACATAAATTAATATTAAAGCCTTCAGGTATTAAGTAATTAGTACTTAGTAGTATATTAGCCGTTAGTTTATTAACGATAGTAACTTCGTATTAAAAATATATAAAGGTTGATTTTAATTTAGTAAGGTTTGGATTAACGGAATTTAGTTTACTTAAACCCGGTTTAATAGAATCTAATTTAATCGGTTTTCGAATACCTTTAAAATATATATTTATAATAAAAAAGTTTAAAGAAGAATATATAATAGCGCCGATACCGCGTACGATTATAAGGGTAGGGCGGTGTTGAATTTAAAAATAAGGGTAATATTTTTATAGCTATAATCGATTTACTAATATAATATTTATACTTATATTATTATATATTATTTATTCGTTATTAATATTTTGATTTACAATGATAACGAAACGTAAATAAATATATAATTTAAAATTAAATCCGTCGTTATATCACGGTCGTAAAGTTAAAGAATTTACAACCGTTAATCGGTTTTTACTATCGATTTTATAATTAATTTAAATCGGAGCGGACTAATAGGTTAAGTGTTAGTTTTTATAATAGCGACGTTAGCGAAGCGAATACTTTTACGTTTTTTAATATTAGAATATAATCGATATATATAGAAATATTCAGTATAAATATACTTTATAAATTAGTTTTTACTTGGAAATTTATAGTAGTAAAAGCGATATTTAAAATCTATTACTTATATTGTAATAAAATTCGTAACGGTACCTTAGTCGTTTATATTAGGTTAATTATTATTAACTTATTTTGCATTAAGGGTAATTCTTAAATTATCTATAGGACTGTCTTCCTTATTATTATTATTATTATTATTATTATTATTATTATTATTATTATTATTATTATTATTATTATTATTATTATTATTATTATTATTATTATTATTATTATTATTATTAGAATACGCGTTTTACTTTACGTTATTATCTTCGATTATAGGGGTATAGTATACATTTTTAAAAGGAGCGGAGGAACGTTTAGTATTAGAATTTTAACGACCTCTATTATTATTATTATATATCAACTTATTGTAATATTATTATTATTGAATTTATTATAGTAGCTAACTATATAGCAGCGTATTTAGGTTAAAGGGTTTATTCGACGCTAGCTTATTATTCTATTATTTTGGAGTAGAAGATTTACTATTACGATTATTACGAAATTCTTACGCTTAAACCCGGTTATTAAATATAATCTTTTTTTAAAATGCTCTCTTTTTCGCGTAAGTCAGCTATAAATACTTCTATTATAATCAATATATTAGGTTTGGATAAGATACTTTGTATATTGCCCTTTATTATTTCAAAGGCGGAGAAAATTTAACTGAAAATATTTTTACTAATTATTTTAATATTACCAATAATTATTTAGGTAAAAGTTTAAATATCTTTCCTATTGGCAATATCTTTTAAAATAAACTTAATTACTTAGAAATATTAATTTATAATAAAATAGTCGATTTTAAACTTTTTAATAAATTTTACGTATATAGTATTAACGGAAGTAATTTCGAATAATTACCGATTAGCATTAAATAGAATATAATTATACTATAAAAGGGTATTACTTTAGAAATATTATATTTAAATTTCGCCGACCTAGGCGTTAGAATAAGTACGGGCTAAATGCTTAAAATGGTCCGTAAAAGCTTAAATATAAGAGTATTTATTAATACGTTTATTAAAGAAAATGCCGGTACCTAATTTATTACTGAATTCTAAATTAAAGAATCTAATATATTTTACTTTAAATAGTCCGCCGTTACTATTATATCCAACGTCCCGCAATACTAATATAATAGCGTTTATAGTATTAATTTAAATATTATTAATAGTAGTGACCTATATTTTACTTAGTATTTCGGTAGTAATAATTGCTAAAGTAGTTAGAATATCGCCCTCCGGTATTTTATCCTTCCCCTTCTTATCTACTATATTACTTAAATCGCCGATTTCGTTAATAAGGCTTTCGAAGTCTCTAAACCCAGGGAACTAACGCCGTAGTAAGATAGGGGGAACGAAATTAAATAGTAACAGGGGGGCAATAAATTTAAATAAGGGTAAGAAGCCGTTGTTAAATTAAAGGAATTTAAATTGGGGAATATTAAGGAGCTTAACGTTAAGGCGATTAAAATTAAAGAATTCGATATATAAATTTATATTAGGGATTTCGATATTAAAATCCTTCTTATAATTTAGGAATTCGATATTAGAATTGCCGGCGGTATTAATAATAAAAGCGCCAGGAATTTATAAATTACTATTACGTTTACTACGGGGTTTAAATAAATTGTAATAAAATTAGCAGAAAGTATTTCTAACGGAAATAAATAGGATTTATTATAAAATTAAATCCAGTTAAAAGTAATTAGGATTAAGACTTACTATTTCTCTATAGCGTAAACAATATACTAATATACGAAAATAATAAATACTTTAAAAGTCTCAAAATATTAAATTTACATTAAAAATATGGAATAATTTTTAACGAAGTATTAAAATTGTACTAAAGAGTTACGGAAATTTCTACTTAGCCCAGTTATAAATATAGATTTAATATATTTATTTTGTAGGGGATATTAGATTATTAGTAAATAATGAAATCAATTTTAATTAACGCGTGAATAATAAAATTTGATACGATACTACAGTAGAAATTTAATATAATTATAAAGCTAACGCGTATTAGGAGTAGCCAATATAATTTTTTTTGGAATTTATTAAGAAAAGTTTAAAATGATCTTTTACGTTTATATTAGTCTAAGGGGTATAGGGATTTATAGATTAGTAGAATTATATAATTGCGACCGTATTCGTTTCTTATGATTTTTTTTAACTATATCAATATCCTTACCAGAATAAAATTTTACGGCGTAACAATATTAAATATCATAAAATCGAAAGAATTAACGTACTTATTTTTCGATCGGTATATGGGAAAATTAATAATATTAATTTTTAATAGTAGTAGAGGGGATATATATAGCCGGCTAAGGGAATCGAGCAACGGAATTGAAATAGAAAGTCGAGCGGTAGCGTTAAAGTAGAAAATCGAACAATAGGGTCGAAAGAAGAGGAGAAGAGAGGGGGAGAGGTAAGCCGGCCGAGGACCTTAGTCGGCGGCGGCGGCGGAATTAGTAATTTAGTATCAATAGAGGTTTTAATTAGGGAAGATTAGTAATTATTAACCGTTAAATATATGTAAGGGGCCTAAGACGCGGGGACGCAACGTATAGTAGTATTAACGATAGGAGAAACTAAGCTGGTAGCTAGAGAAATTATTAATTTGTAGCTTTAACTATAGTAGTAATATTATAATTAAGAACGGTTAAATTAATAATATTAATAGTATAATTAATCCTTTATCTATAATAATTAATATTGAATTATATAGTAAGGTAATTAATATAATTAAAATAGTAATCGCTTCGAGGAGAAGACGACCGCGGAGCGAGGGAGAAATAATCGATATTTAAGGGGAAATTAAGAGAACGATTAAATTTAGAGGGAGGAGGAGTAAGAATTAGTAGGAGAAGAAAAGAAGACCCGCGTCCTTATATTTTTGGTGGCGTATTAGATTATTAGAGAAAAGGTTTATGTTAATTGAATTGATTAGTAGAAGGAGATGAAGATAAGGAGGAAAATTAGAACTTCTAGAAGCTTAGGGCGGCTAGTCTTAAATATATAGGAATCCGTCCCCAACTATCCTTCTTATTAGGCCTTACTAAGTACCTAATTTCCTCGTATGCTTGGCTGCCTTCTATTCTAAATAACCTCTTCCTTCCTATCTTCGTAGGCTCCTTCTATATATATACTAATACCTTCCTTCTAAAGGGCTATATGCGGGGTAAGCGCTATGTGGCACGGGCCCGTTGGTTAGGGGTCGGTGCCGAGTCCTAACAGTCTATGCGCGTAGATCTATACAGCCCGATCCACAGCACCTGCTGAGATCTTGTTCTTGACCAGACACTCACGTCTAGGCCCGCCCTTGGAGAGTGGGAGCCCGCTACGCCCATCTTAAAGTACAGACATACCGTGATGTGTATACGTCTTACTTCTTACGATGCTGCGCAACAGATCCGCCGCTTCAGTTTTGCAAAAGACATATGATGAGAGCTACCTGACATGCTCCACTGCTGTCTATTACGAGGGCCAGGTCAGTATGACGTTTTCATGATCGTTGCCCTTTTCTCCCATCTGCTAACCTGGCGCGGTCATCTAGGGCAATGAGGATGAGGCTATGCGATGCTGGAAACAGGCCCTCGAGCAAATCTATGACCAGCAAACAAACAAAATTTTGCCAACCTTTACCCCACGTTCCGAGACGGAGAAGGCGCTGGTTGACAGTCTTCGGCAACTCGAGGTACAGTGCAAGGAACGAATTGATCTCCTAGAGGCCCTCCGTCTTTCGCGCCTCGAGTCTCTCAAGCATGAAGCTACACCATCCGCGTCACGTTTGTCACCCTTGCCGAACCCCTCAGACCCCCCCAAGGGCTGGATAGGTGACGGAACAATCCCAGCCGTAACCTATACAGACCTTTCCCGACCAACTCCCACCAAGCGACCCTTTGTAGGGACCAGGTCTATCTCGGAACAAACCATGCCTACACCTGGGCCTTCTTCCGAGGCACGTACGCCAGGCGGGGAGTTTCCCTTTACATCCACGCGACCAGTGTTAACGTCGCCACCGTCGGCGTCAAGGCCTTCGCTCGAGGAGCGAACATCGTCAAGGACACGCAGCCCCGAGAAGCATACCATGCGCACAACCTTGCGGACCGGACGTTTGGGAGACAAAAAAACTAGCCATCGCCAGACGCCTCCAACCTCGGTTTCAGAACGCCCCGGTGCCAATAAGGCGGCCTCGCTTGCCTGGAGCTATCTTGGGAAAAGAGAAAGATCGAGTCCATCAGGGAGTGCAAGCGGTAATAGTGGTGGAACCGGCACCACTGATCAGACAAGTTCGGTACCGCCCGCAAGCTCTCCCTACTCAGTGGAAAGGCTACGTCAAAGTCCAGCGTTGGCAGGCCGCCAGCAGCAATGGGACACACATACTAGGCGATTGGTCACGGGTCGTCCTCGGAGCCAATCCAAACCGCCTGATGGACGACCTACTCCTGAATCATCAACACCCCGCCGTTCTGATGAGCATACCCACAGTCGCCAATCCTCCTTCACCATCAGCGCTGCTGCCGCATCAAGTGCACTCAATTCATTGACTTTGAGGGATAACAACGAGCGCTCGCCGTTGGAAGGGGAGGAAGGACTCCGGCTAAGAACCGCTCCGTTACCGACACCAAGGAGGAGGCCTCTGCCTGCGACGGGGAACACGGATGACGAAGACACCTCATACTCAGCGAGAGGAAGCGCAACAGCGACCAGAAAATCGAACAGAAAGATGTCCGATCCAACGCTGGCTCAACGGAAGCCCATCAGCCGGACTTCTTATTTAACAAGCACGGCAAGGCCCGCGTCTGGCAGATCGGCGACGACACAGGATGTTGATACACCTCGGACGAGCGCTCGGGCGAGGGGGAAAAGGCTCGAACAACCCCCAGCTTCGTCAAGTTCTGAGGATTCCGAATATGAAACTCCCCGGCGGCCGACAGCAAGACAGCAACTAAGACAAAGACTGAAGCAGAGTGAGGTTTCCCTAGTTGTCGATACACCAACCCACAACTCCGAAAGCCCAGAATCTGAAGGCGAAGATGGGGCGGCTCAACAAAGGTCAGAAGCTGCCAAGTGGAACAAGCAAAAGGCAAAGATATTGCGCCGTCTTCCTCCAGGGGTTGATGAACATGCTGCGAAACAGATCTTGAACGAGATCGTCGTTCAGGGTGATGAAGTTCACTGGAGTGACATAGCCGGCCTCGAGGTAGCCAAAAATGCACTTCGAGAGACCGTAGTTTATCCTTTTCTCCGGCCGGATCTCTTCAAGGGTCTTCGCGAGCCGGCCAGAGGCATGCTGCTTTTTGGGCCACCAGGAACAGGAAAGACTATGTTGGCCCGCGCAGTTGCCACGGAGTCCAAATCTACCTTCTTCTCCATCTCTGCTAGTAGTCTGACAAGTAAGTACCTCGGCGAATCAGAGAAACTTGTTAGGGCACTGTTTGCGCTGGCAAAGGTGTTGTCGCCGAGCATCATTTTTGTTGATGAGATTGACTCGCTGCTGTCGCAGAGATCTGGCTCTGGGGAACACGAGGCCACGATGAGGATTAAGACGGAGTTCCTCATCCAATGGAGTGATCTTCAGAGAGCTGCTGCCGGCAGAGAGACTGCAGCGAAAGGAACAAAGGAAAACGGCACCGATGGTGATGTGAACAGAGTCTTGGTGCTTGCCGCCACGAACCTTCCGTGGGCTATCGACGAGGCTGCAAGGAGACGATTTGTGAGGAGACAGTATATCCCACTCCCCGAAGCTGATACAAGAGCAATCCAGTTCAAAACGCTCCTCAGTCAGCAAAAACATACACTGACCAACGAGGACATCAATGAGCTTGTGAATATGACCGATGGTAAGTCGCCCTACCCGTTCGTGATCTTTGCCAACCCGTTCACTCCCTGGCCAGGTTGCCCGCCAAATACCTTTTGCTAAGCACGTGCACCTCGCAGGATTTTCCGGATCCGATATCACAGCGTTAGCTAAAGATGCGGCCATGGGTCCTTTGCGGTCTTTAGGTGAGGCGTTACTACAAACAACCATGGACCAGATACGCCCGATAGAGTTAAAGGATTTTGTCACCAGTCTCGCTACCATTCGGCCTAGCGTTAGCAAGGCAAACCTCAAGTTCTATGAGGATTGGGCAAGAGATTTTGGAGAAAGAGGCGGTTAGGGAGGGAGGATGCCGCGAGGCGATGAATCGGAGCAAGGTACTCAGGGAATGGGTAATGTCTGGGTCTGGCAAGCCTGTAGCAAGCACATCGAAGAAGAGTATTGCTCGCTGGTACAAATCACAGAGTGTGACAGGCGACATTACCACACCTATAAGCTGTCAGGGCAAGGAGCAGGGTGGAAAAGTAAACGGTGCGCATTCGGAAAGCACCCATATGTAGCAGCAAATGGTGGCGGGCGTGATCGTAGTCCATCCGACAGCATCACTTGTTGAAACCCGCTTTCTGGCCAAATATATCGTTCAGATCGTGTCGAAATTGGTTGGCACTGCCGTCCATGTGTCAGTATGATATAACCACCCTTCAGTTCCATCCATTGCGCTCTTACCCGTCGGTTACCCCGGGAGGTTGACGAGAAGTATCGGACACCAAGCTTCCCATCCTTTCGTGACATCTATCGTTTTCCCCTATATCGTACAGCGTGCCTATTTCGATAATCCTACACATATCTATCAACAGCTTGTGCTCCGGGCTCTATTTATCCCTTCTCGACACAGTCCTTGACACAATCCAAGACACGCCGGACCATAATCAACCACCACTTCCCCCCCTCTCGCGGCGCGCGGCCCTTCACCACCATCCTCTAGCAAGAGGCGCGGCCAGTAAGTAAGCATTGAAACTGACGTGTGTCTGAATGGATCTCGCTCCAATCCTGCTCCCTCGTCTTCACCACTCGGCTTGTCCACACTGTGTTCCTCAATCAACCTTTTGCAAGCTGATGATCTTCTCGCGCATCGCGATCTCCCTCTCAGCGTGGCGGGCCATTCTCTCACCGAGCTCAATCGCCTCCTCGGCGGCCTGGATCTTTTCCCGCAGCACCTTGCGCTCCTTCTTGGCCTCCTTCGCTGCGTCCTTGGCGTCCCAGAGCTCATCCAGCGAAGGGATGGGCGGGCGCTCCTCGATCGGCGTGCCGGCGGGCGCAATGATGTGCTTGACCACGTGCCGCTTGGACTTGCTGGTGATGAAGCCGGGCATGATAGCGACCACGTCACCGGCACGGAGAGAGTTGTTGGGGTCGTGGACCAGGTATTGTTTTGGGTCGTCGAAGTGCTTGATGAGTGGAAAGGAATTGAAGGTTAGCGTGCTACTCTCCTGCTATGCCCGTGTCTTGAAGAATAGCCGTAGTTTCGCATACACACCTTCTGAAGGAACTTGTTGAACTTCTGCCCGCCCACCCGGACCTTGACGGTCTTATCAATCAGGCCAGAGGTCACGACGACACCGTGAAGTTCACGGAACATCGTCCGGGAGACCTTTGTGGCCGCTGCTATCGTCGAGGCCATTGTTGCCGATTTTTTCCTGCTTCCTTCTTTGTTGTTGGTGACTGTCTAGCCTCGAGGGTTGATCTCGTGTCCACGGCCTCTGACACAGTCCTTCTTGAATAAACAAGGGGACTTGCGGGGCAGGGTTCGGGTGGCCGGTCGATTTCGATGCGACGATTCGGCGATCGGTCGTTTCGGTGTTTCGGTCCCTTGACACAGTAGTCGCGTAAGGGAAGGGTTTGCCGATGTGTGCGCGCAAAGGTCGCTAGTTGCGCGCAGTTCAAAGCTTCCGGACCGGAACGGGGCAGTATCTGGGGTCGTGTGGGCGGTGGTAATGGAGGTGGTACTGCTATGGGCGGGAACACTGGAGCGAAACAATGCTCCAAGGCACGGTCGCGCCGTCGGCTGCCCGAAAAATAATTGGAGCCGGCCGAGAAAAGACCGGGGTCCGGGCTCGGGAAGTGGATCCCCGCAGCCCCGCCATCCACTGCACGGCCAAGACGGTAGTGGACGGGGAGACGGGCTCGAGACGGGCAGTTTCACCCGGTCAATTGACTGCCCCTGCATTCATCCCATGCCACTTGACCACTCTACGTACCTTTTACACTCATACCGCTGTCCTAATAGAACTCCCGTCTGTCGGCATTCTTGCAACTCTTCTTTTGTCTTCGTTTACTATTCAGTGCAAGCTGCCGTGCCCTTGTCTTCATAAATGGGAATTGCTCGTACAATGTCAACCTCACTGAGGGAAGTGCTTGTTTGTGGTTAAAACGCTACGGCATGCCATTACATTTCATTGCCTACAAAGGACCTACGGAGCCTGTGGCTGCCCGCTTTGCCTCTCCCTGATAGTGACACGCAACATTCAGACTCCAATATCCAACACCTCCTAACATAATCCTCCTCCCAAGCTCTTCATGTACAACGCCTTACCTGATATCCTTTGCCATTTTAAGGATCAGTGAGATCTCTGCCGTCTAGTAAGAGTGACAACTGGAATAGTGTCCCGCCGGCTAACCCGAGGTAAGTTTGACAAGATACCCCATTCTGTGTTCGTCGATATACCCTCGAAAGCTTGCAAGCCGATCCAAACAAGTGAATTGGGCAACCTCGTGTCCTCTCCTCTCCCCTGCCAGGGCAAGTTACGGCTTTACCGCGCCTTCCTGTGACTTTCTATCTGCAGGCTGTTATGTTCGCAAGAATCGCATTGCTGGGGCGAGCCACCTCGGTGTTTGATATGATGCTCGACATCACAGTATATCCGGGCCTCAAATAAGATCCTTGTCGATTACCGTACAAGGCGCCGACTAAGCTACCGGCGTCGACCCAGTTTGGGGTAGCGACTCGGTTACCGGATGTAATGTCGACAAACTATTGACAGCCCTGAGTTTGCCGCGCCGCGGAGGGGGGAGCTTGGGGGGCTGCTTTTTGGCCACTAGTCCACTCACCTTGCCGTCGCCAGATACGGCTTCCGCAGCCGAAGCCGCTGTCGGCGATGAGCTGCTAGCAACAGCAACCCCGTACCTGTCACCTTGGGCAAATGTGGTGCCCTCGGTCATCCTTGTTGGCGTAGGTGGTGGTTGCGGGGAGACCGGCACACCATGGCGATGCTTTGGAACAATGGGAAGCGATTTCTGGGCCCTCAGCCGTCTCGCCGGCGGTGGTGACGGTTTTCGACGGCCTGCTGCTTTGTGCCCTTCGGTGGTACTCGAGACCAAGAGATTCGGGGCCGTAGTTTCTGGCGTATCACTCGCGGGACTGGCGATTATTGACCCCACGGTGTCTTCCGCATCCTCCTGTTCATGCCTGAGCTCACGAGCGAGGGTTGATTTTCTGCTTGGTGTTTCTATACCTGGCTTTTCGTGGACATTTGCAATGACGCTAACGGTACTACCGCTTTGCGCCTGCGTGAGGCTCCCCATAGAGACAGGACGCAAGATGCCCTCATCGTCCACTAGCCATGGAATGTTTGCGACACGCTCAACCAAGCGGAGAGTAGTTGGCTCGGGCGGTAGAAAGTGCGCACTTCCTGAACCGCGAAGTATTTCGAGCAGGCTAAGAATTTGATCGCGCTTGTAATGTGGCGGCTGGCTGAGCTGGGTGTGCGATAACAACGGAGCGAGAACGCGCAGATATGTGTGTCTCAAGGTGTTCATTTCCACTGGCAAGTCGAGCAGATTACGAATGATGACGTCAAGAAGGACTCGCAGGTCGTTGGTGTAAAAGTATTCATATGTCGCCTTGGTGGTGAATAACAGATACAGCAGCTTCAATATTATCAGCTGGAGTGATGTTTCGGTTGCTCGATTCAGAAGCAAGATAATGTTCTCGCCAAAAGTTCGGAAAGACGGGCCATGGAGGCTGAGGACTTTGACGACTCGGTTTGTGATATGGGCAACAGGCGCAGTTGGGTCAACAGCTCCGGATGCTGATGCAACCATGTATTGCTCGTTCATGACCAGCTTACCCATGGCCAATGTTAGTGGTTATGTCGTAAAGCAGATATGGGGCACAATAACATACCAGGACACGGATTACGGCGTAATGGTACGGATCGTCCACGTCGTCGGAGAAGGCTTCGATAAGTTGAAAGAGGTAAATGACGAATTCGTCATCTACCTGAGCCAAGTCTTGATGCGGCAACTTTTCGATGCGAGACATCTCGTACATCAACTCGAGAAGTAGTCGGTGAAGACGGCCATCGTGATCGCCGCAACTCTTGATGAGCTCGAGCAGTCGCAGAAAACAGCCTTCGTTGACCATGCGCCGGAATGTCTCTTCCTCAGCACGGCCATCTAGCAGGAGGAAGTTGGAAATAATATGCAACGGCCCGTACTCGTCCTCCTGCAACAGGCTATATATGATCTGGGTGCGCACGTAGTCGGCGTTCTGGCTGAAGATGCTGCTAATTCGGAGCTGTTGGGAACAAGTCGCAATGTCGTCTTCATCGTCGAGATAGCGGTCCCGGCCGGTCGCGACCAGTTCAAGCCATGATCGCAGAACGTCGTCGAGAGATTCGGGGGTAGGGCAAGGGGTGGAAAGGATGTCGTTCAGGGCTGGGAAGGGTATTTGTTCAGCAATTGAAACAAGAGCAACACAAGAGGGGAGGGCCGTTCAGCAAGCTTGCTCACCGTGCCAAAACTGCTGCTCGTTCTCAACAGGCTCAGTGACCTCGAGGTCCGCCATGTTTTCAAGCGAGCAGCACCAATGTTGTCGTCGAGACTGATGAACTGGGCATCACGAATGGCGGCTTGCGGGTATCGCATAGGCATGTATACCTTTGCCGACCTAATCCACCGCGTTGGATCTATTAGGCTATCGAGACTGCGCGGGAGGATGTCGTCACTTGAGAAGAGAACAGTTGAATGCGGCGGATTTAGGGAGAGGTCCAGTCTATGCAAGGCTGGGGGAGTTCCGTACTTTGAGTTGTGGGTGCCCCCCAGTACACTACATCGGGATTGTGGGGGCTGCCTTACCTATGTACCTAGTACATAGGTACCACCTGCACACGTGGAGATATCTCTTTACGCCACCTTCCGTCCCAAGTACTGCACTCTTAATGTGCCTTTCCTGTCGAAGGACGTCCCTGTAAAGACTGTACCTCCAAGTACTTCATGTGATGCAGGACTATCGCTCAAAAGTTTTATGGCGGGCAATGCAGCTTATGTACCTCTACCGTACGGCACTATGTATGTATATTGCGGTCCCAGGCGGCAGCCAGAGAATTAGAACAAAGACCCCAACCTTGAAGCATACTTGCATATTCAACGAACTAGGTCAGTTCGACCGGCAGACAAGTTGTCAGGTTGGCTCCGTTGCACAAATACATCAACAGTCCATGCCCCCGGCAACGTTCCCGAGCGAGTCTTTGACTCTGTGTTGTATCTGCCAACATCTCAACTTATGACTGAGCTCAAGGTCCACAACCCACGAACCTTAAACTTCAGTGCCACCTTACATTTAAAAACCTCCCAACGCCCCGAGCCTCGTGGGTAAGTAGATACCATGAAATCGGCCATTCAGTATTCATGGTTGTCAACATCCGAGCCACGCTGGATGTGGAGAGGCGAAAGCCCTCATTGGGGGTGAAACCGTGGAGTGCCAACATGCTCAAGCTATGGCTCCATACCTCGACCTGATCATCCGACTCCTTGATAGGCATCTATCTGTCCGTCACGAGATACCGTTACGGGAACCGGACGAACATTCATGGCGCCAGCCACGATCAACGTTCCTTGTCATCCTGTCCATCTCACACCCGAAACCTCCATCATTGGACCCCTAAGACGTGGTGCGTCGATGGTGAAGGGAAGGACAGGCACCAAACGGGTTGTGATGGCGCACTGCTGCTCTCAGCAAAGGTTCGGAGACTCTTCGATTACCAGCTTCACCGAAGCGCAATGTCTCTATCATCAAGGGGGTAGTCGTTCGTCGCATCCGCATCGACAGATCTGAGGAGAAGGACCAATCTATATGCGCTGTTTCCGTTCAGATAATAGCGGTGAAGCTTTTTGGAGCGGACGAAACCCAGGCGCTCATAGAGTCTCATGGCCGGGATGTTGGTCTCTTCTGTCTCCAATACAATCTCGTCGGCGTCTCGCTGAGCCATGGCGTCGATGGCTCTCCTAACCAGTTCCGTCGCGATTCCGTGTCCACGATATTGAGAAGAGACGGCAAGCATAGCAATGTATCCGCGAAGAGTGGGCGGGGAATGCGAAGCGTGCGATTCGAGTTTGCAGATGATCACTCCTATGAGAGAAGAGTCGACTGGGTGCAAGGCCTGTCGGGTTTATTGAGCGGTCAGCTCACCTGGCCCCATGCCCATACGCAAACCTCAACAGCCCAGGGACGTCCACATACCATAAAACACAGATGGCCCCATTGATAAAGAAAGTATCGATACACATAAATGCTGTAAGGCTCGCTAAGATCTTTTGATATCAGCGCGCGGATAGCTGGGAGGTATTCTGCCTCCAGCTTATGCTCATATTTGATGTACTGGAGCTCCCCTGGAAGCTCTTCGACACGCGGTACTTCCGTTCCTATCGCCTTTTCGGTGGTTGCTTCCATGTTGATAAAGCGAATCAAGCTGGATCCGAAACGTTTATGCTGCGTTGGGGCTACGAGAAGTCGAAAAATGAGGGCGTGAGGTTGGGTAAAGATGGAGAATATGCCGTTCATAAAGGGTAATACCTGGTATGTCTCACTCAGCTGGGCGAGCTGGGGTGGTTAGGTCGGGTAGTACGGAGGGGCAGCTCTGTTTTCACATGTCTGCATGACAGTGTGTAGCGTACTTACTGCGCAGTAAATAGGCCAGTTGCGTGTCAACCTTTCCCCTAGAAGTGGATAGCCTATTACAAACACCCCTCACTCAAAGCCATTCATTATTAACACTTTTCCTTAGTCCGCCCACACCTGTTCCTCCCATCGTTTCTTGCCTTGTATGTGTTAAATACGCATCCCGTCACTCTTCTGTTAAAGGCACTTGCGCCGGTTATGAATGCAGGCTTTCGTGGCGACAGCCTGAGGTTCGAGCAATGGAAACCCGGCTCGAGCCCGGGCCCCAGGTACGCAAGCTTCTGGAGGTAGGCGCGTTTCAACGTTCATGCTACGATGGTACCTACGCTAGGTACTTCCGTCATCACAAGCTGCATTGTACTATACACCTTGCATTGATATTTCCTCGACTTCTGTCGTCAGGCGCGAGGTCGCAGCTTCGACTCATCAGAGTGCGAGATCGCCGCTGACCAAGTGATCCATACACCAAGCGTGGTGCCACTCCCCGCTCCAGCCCTACGACCGTGGCGTCACCGGAGGCAGCGCCAAACAGCCCCTCCACTATCAGAACCCCATACATCACACATTTCAAAACATCACGCCCGCCCCTGCCGATGACCGGGCCGCTTAGTTGACCAGTCCGACAGCCCGGCCCATCCGCACTCGCTCCAGTTTTATTTTCTTTTACCCTCCGATAATCCGTCTTCCTCGCGCCGTAACGGCAACGTACGGCGGCAGCAACAGCCACGAGCATCCCGAGAATGGCGACAACTGTTCGGCGCAGGCTGGTCGGCAAAGACATCGAATGCGAGACTGCGTCGGAAACTGCCTCCGAGACCGCAACATCCCGCGAGCCGAGTCCCGATAATCAGCATGACACCGTCAAGGTTACACACAAACGTCCCAAGACCCGAAAGCGCAAGACGACAGCAATATTCCTGCTGGGGAGTCTGTTTGGGATTATAGCAGCTGGCTTCTTTGCTAAAAGCAATGATCTGATCGATCTTCCTCTACCCGAGCTCAAGGAGCTCAGTATGGACAGCTTGTTCGAGGTGTTGCCTGCCGGCTTTGTCAAGGAGATGCGTGACCTGGTGGTGAGTGAAAACAATAGCGTCATGAGGAGCTTTGCTGTTGTTTACGCATCTGACCTTCTCTACCGGCCTCTAGAACGGCGAACGAGACCTCATAGAGAGCGATGATGCCTTCTCGGTAGGCCTGAAGATGCGCGCCGAGGGCCTATCGGCTGACCACCCTATAGTCATGATCCCCGGGGTCATCTCTACGGGTCTAGAATCATGGGGCACGTCTGAGCCGTCGTTGCCCTATTTTCGGAAGCGGCTTTGGGGAAGCTGGACCATGATGCGAGCTCTTGTCATGGACAAAGAAGCGTGGAAGAGGCACATCATGCTCGACAAGACAACGGGATTAGATCCCCCAGGTATCAAGCTACGCGCCGCCCAGGGATTCGATGCAACCGACTTTTTCATCACAGGATACTGGATATGGAATAAAATCCTCGAGAATCTAGCATCACTTGGCTATGACCCAACCAACTCATACACGGCGGCTTACGACTGGCGATTAGCATATGCGAACCTCGAGGTGCGCGATCACTACTTTTCCAGGCTCAAGTCTTACATTGAGCAAGCCGTGTTTCTGCACGAGAAGAAGGTGATTTTGACCTCTCACAGCATGGGCAGCCAGGTTCTGTTCTACTTTTTTCACTGGGTTGCCTCCGAGAAAGGCGGCAAGGGTGGCCAAGACTGGGTGGAAAGGCATGTTGATTCATGGATCAATATCAGTGGATGCATGCTGGGAGCTGTTAAAGATGTAACAGCGATCCTTTCCGGTGAAATGCGGGATACGGCGCAGATGAACGCATTTGCGGTTTACGGTCTCGAAAAATTCCTCAGCAAGGAGGAACGCGCCGAGATATTCCGTGCTATGCCTGGAATATCATCCATGCTTCCCATGGGCGGTAACGCTGTCTGGGGAGAATTGGATTGGGCTCCAGATGACCAGCCAGGCCAAGGGCATAGCTATGGATCGTTGCTGAATTTCCGCGCTGGGCAAAACGGATCAACAACACCGGACAGAAACTTTACGATCGAAGACGCGATGGACTATATACTTGACACAACCGACGACTGGTACCGCGATCAGGTGAAAGGCAGTTACTCTCACGGGGTGGCGAAGACGAGCGCGGAAGTGGAGGCAAACGAGAATGACCCTCGGAAATGGACCAACCCTCTAGAGACACGACTGCCATTGGCACCAAGCCTCAAGATCTACTGCTTTTATGGTGTAGGGAAGCCGACGGAGCGAGCCTACTTTTATCGGGCGCCGGATCCGGGAACGACAACGCATCTTAACATGACGATTGATACGACTTTGACTCAGGGGCACGTTGACCACGGCGTGATTTTGGGCGAAGGTGACGGCACAGTGAACCTCATGAGTCTGGGGTACATGTGCAACAAGGGGTGGAAAATGAAGAGATATAATCCTGCGGGCTCAAAGATAACCGTGGTCGAGATGCCACATGAGCCAGAACGGTTCAATCCGAGAGGAGGGCCGAACACGGCCGATCACGTGGATATTCTGGGAAGACAGAATCTCAACGAGTATATCCTCAGAGTGGCGGCAGGTCGAGGCGATACAATCAAGGATTTCATCGCCAGCAACATCCTCGAATATGCGGCAAAGGCGAAGGTCTATGACGAATGATTGACGACTACACCCCCCAATACATATACATTTACATAAACAACATTGCATGAGAGGACGACACTGGATGGTCCGTGGAATGTCGATTCAAGGGAAGTGCAAGAGGGCGCAGTAGAGGGAAGGCTATTGTTCACTTTTACGTTGTCGAGGAACAGGTGATTACCTGTTTCCAACCTACAGTGGGAGTCTAGTATATAGGTGGATATCCGGGGTACCGAGGGGAACCTAAGACGACTAAAGTTCTAGTGGTCTTTTTCTGTTTCTTCTACTTTTTTTTTGGTTCTTGTTTCCGATTATTCTCTTTGCAGGTTCGCAAATCAAGTGATACCCGTTTCTTTTTCTTGATATATCACCATCCCGGCGTTTCTCGTGGCTCAAAGCGCAACGCATATGCTGGTTATGGTTAAACAGCTGAATTGAAGGAAAGGCTTTTCGTGATGCTCGGCCTCACCATCTTTAATGTCGAAAAGACGAGCAGGAAGTGTGTATATACAGAGGTTAAGTAAGCTCCTGGATGCATTAGTTGAAATAAACAATTGGACGCAGCAAAGTGCGCTTGATTTGGACATGATGATGGCCGGGCTGGATGTGGTGGAGGTTGAATCCGAGTCTAAAATGACATGCTGAGTGAATGCCTTTGTGTACTTGGCTTTTCATCACCCTTGCTGTCACATCCGATTTACCCGACTGGCGTTTTTAATGGGCCGCTTCCAGGGTTTCTCAATCTCGGATTCCAAGTTGCCTTGTTTGACACTGCCACCGGCCTCGATACGGATCGCAACTGCCCAGACAATAAGCGAAACTGACGCTATAGATACGTACTACTACTGATGAGTGACCCGCCTGAGCTTCTGGAATCGCGCCTCCCGTCAGATCACCTCCACCATCCCCTACTAACGGTACACGTGTAGTCAAAAGGCTCACTCCACCCAGCCCACAATCTCCACCCCGTACTCTTATCTACGAACTGCCAATTTATGTACCATGAGCTAACAAGGTGCCGCAGTGGACAATAATTCGTTGACAAATCTCGTTGACTGCTGACCATGGCTGGAGTCATTACTCTCTCTCCGACTCCTTTTTCTTTTTGGTTGAGTACCGGTCTCCTAAACGGGAACGCTTATCTTAACGCTTCAATAGAATACGTACGTCATCGACCGATGCGTTGCAACACTAGCGAATACATCTGATACTTCTGCCGGACTGCCCAGCCCGTCTTGCATACGGCACTACGTTACGATACACAGCGTGACTCCGTGACGGCATATTCTCTTGGTACCCGTCTTTAATATACCGTTACAAAACATGCATGTACAGACGCATACATTGTAGTACCATCTATACCGGCGGTAGTCGAGTGGAGACTGAAGCCAAGATCGGCTCTACCTACCTAGATTAGTTTCCACCATGCGGTTCTGCTCCCCGACTTATACTTAGGTAAGGTACGAAGTCAGGGCAAGCGACGGTGGTGATACATGGTGATGATACATGTAATGGCACCGCAAGGTCGTACCAGAGAAGTTACTTCATCAGCCATCCGTCTAATAATCTCGGGGTGTGGACTTGCCAGTGGATTATCGACACTGGCCTTCCAGAGGTCCATCTCACTCCAGGGTCCCTACCTTCTTCCAGTCAGGGCAGAGCACTCAGACCGGCGTGTTGGCTGCTCCCCGAAACCCCTTGTGGACGTCCATTTGTTTATGATTCTATCCTGTCAAAGCTCAACTCCCTCTACACTGCCGAGCTCTCCTTCCTCCCATCCATCCCTCTACCTACCTCTACCTTGCCGGTCTGACTTCTACATCCAACAAATAGATACAACCCTAGAACTTCGTCCTCTCACTCTGTCTTCAATCCGGGTACCTCCAAGGCTTCGACCCGACTTTCACAGCATCTGGCCCATCTCCTTCGTATCGCAGCGGTCTGTCTGTGCTGGTGCATAGTACTGGATTCCAAAAGGGGCATTTCCGCCTCCTTGGTTCTAGTGAAAAGAAGCCTCCAGGCGCAACAATGTCTCCGTCGTTCCTAAACCTCAAGAGTATTTGCAGGCGATCGCGAAACAGCTTCAGGACGGAACGCTCGACCGACGGCTCGAGCGAAGCAAGCAATGGCACTGCTCCCACAACCGGCTCCTTGACTCCTCCGTCCTTCTCCTCGCACCAGTCGGACCCGGCCCTCAATGTGCACGTTAACAACCACCAGGCGACATCTCCAACTCCTCCTGCTACTGCCCCTTCGCGCCCGGCGCCACATCCCTACCCCACCGGAAACTCAAACAGATATAGTGTCTCGGGGATGACAGGTCTAGGATCGCCAATGCCAAACGGCAGGGGCCCCAACTTGCCCGTCTCGCAATACTCTCCACGCATCACCAGTATTCAAGACAACTCATGGGTGAGTTGGAGTTGATTGTGCCTGGCCAATGCTTGCCATGACTGACCAAACCATCACAGGTCTACCAAAAGGTTCTGCTTGTCTACGGTACCGTTGGGGAGCCTTCTCAGCAATCCCTCGACGAGACCGTGACTGTCAGTCGACTTGATGACAGCTTCCCCCCTATCAGCTGGCCCGTATGCGATTCCCAGTTCAAGGCTCTAATCTACATGACGCCCGGCGCAAACCGACTACGCTTCGACTTTGCCAGCCCGAAACTTGCCAACAGCGGATCGACGAATCCCATTCACGCCTCCTATCTCACAATACATATGCTTCCGACGACCAACGCCCCTCCGCTTCAACTCGCCATTCTGCTCGCCAAGGATTCTCCCGCCACATACGATGCCGTTCCAGCCAGGGTTGAGCGAGAAGGGAACGGTTTGGAGACGGCAGTTCGAAAGTTCCGCATGGCTGCGTATCTGTGGCAGGCATTCACTGCAGAACAGATGTGGCGCAACAAATTTGGCCGTCGCGTGTTCCGGTTCGAAGAGGAGTGGACGACAGGTTCGGCAAACCAGAGGGATAGAGAGCAAGGGACACTACGGTCTGAAGCACGCATCCACATTATCAGGACGAACCATACCCTAGCAGAGCTGCGCGACTTGGACAAGGCCCAGCAAAACAAAAGCGCCAAGCGAAAGGATGCTCTGTTTGGCATTGCTGCAGATGCGGTCAGGGACTACTTCAAGCCGCTTCCGGGGCAGAAACTATACGTTTCTGTCTTGTTGCTAGACTCACACTGGGATACGAGCTCGAAAACCGTTACCGCACACGCCGCGCTCGGAGGGGGGGTCGGCGATCTGCAGCTTGGCATATTCGGGTCACACTGCCTGCAAAGCTACCCGACAAGCTTCGAAGAAGTGGTCCCGGCATTCAGTGACTGTACGCCTACAGATACGAATCATGTTGCCAACGACTGCAATGAGGCTGGGAGCTCGTGGGAGGCAGCTAATATCGGCATTGGAGCTCATCTGCACGAGACAGGCCATTTGTTTGGCCTGCCTCACCGCGAGAGCGGCGTCATGCTGAGGGACTATGTGAAGCTGAATCGCACTTTCATCGTTCGGGAAGCATATTCGACACGCACGCGCTCCAAGGGTGGTCTAGTGTCGCAGGAGGATGAATGTACCTGGCACCGTCTGGACTGCCTCAGGTTTCGGAGCCACCCATGTTTTCGACTGCCCAACGACCCAGCTCAAAGCCCGGATGACAGCGTGCAGGCATGGCCGGTGGGAGGAGGCGAAGTAATGATAACGGCCGCCTCAGGGGTAATGTACGTCGAGATCTTTGGAGAAGATGACGATGTCTGCCACAAATGGATCGAATATCTCGGCGAAGGTGGTAGCGGTAATGGATCTGGGATCCAACGCCAAATAACGCTCAATGAGCAGGAACTACGAAAGGAACTGGCTGGAGAGAACAAGAAAAAGCGGAGGTTGAAGGTTAGTGTCAGATCACATGGCGGCGGTTCTTTGGATATCGAAGATTTTCATCAGTTGTGCTCGAAGCAATCCAGCTTCAAGCTTCCCATGGGCTTGGTACCGGGAGTGCCCGTCCTGGCGCAGACGGCGTATCGCGGCAAGACGTTGGGAGCATCCAAATTGGAAGGAAGCGAGCCCCATGAAGTTGTGTTCACGAGTGCAGTGAAACAGGGCATAGTCCTCTCACGGATTATTGTTTACCATGGGTTGGCCTTGGATGGTTTGGAGTTTGTTTATGATGACAATTCAACGCAACTTTTTGGAAAAAAGGGGGGCAAAGCAGGGGGTGATGTTTTTGAAATGGGTAAGTACAACCCTGAAGCCAGCCAATACTGTTTACAGATGTACTGACTGATACCAGATATTCGTCGGGGTGAGTATGTCACCGGCTTCTATGTCAGAGCCGGCTTCTGGATCGATGGCATTCAAATCTTTACAAGCTCGGGGAGGAAATCGCCAATCTACGGCAAGCCGAATGGTGGCTCTGGGTACGTTGTGCGACCTGAAAACCCATTAATTCTGTTCTCCTTACCCAAGAAAAAGTCATGCTAATCAAATCTCTGCTGTACAGCCATACACTAATACCCCCAAGAGGATTTAATATTGTTGGAGTAACCGGGTCATGCGGCGCTTGGGTTGACGGATTTTCTGTTGTCATCAGTAAATTGCCTTTGTCGCTTTGATACCCATTATCACATTCCAGCCTGCGCATTTATATATATACTTTGCACACCATACCCCTAAGGATACTTGCCGCTAATCTACTCCCTTCCCACCTTCCTATCCGCCTTTACTATCACCATGGCTCACAACTTGAAAGGATTGGTGATAGATGGGACCATTCGACTGGAACTGAGCCACTGAGCTGTGAAACAAGGACGGACTACGGTGTATCAATGTGGTCAATATCAATGCGGCTGTCGATGTTGATTGACGGCCTTTTATGTGTCTGCATCCAGCAAGTTGAATGACACCATCAAGTTTGGATAAATCTATGGTTAGACTTGCCCTTCAAATTTCCAAGTGCATTCCTCATGTTAAGGATGATGTCTTTTGATGACGAGTTTGAGCAGTAAGATAACCGTACACATCACCACCACACTGCCAACGTTTTATGCAAAAGGTATGATGAAATGAACAGGTCGAGTGTGGAGGAAGTACCAAAGTTCGTAGGCAGAGAGCATGGATGGTTCTGATTATTGCGACCTTGTATTCTTGATGACTCTCACCCATACACCCTGCGTGCTCAGAGCGCTCAGGTCATCGTTTGCAGGTGTGTAAGGCTACCCAGTCGAGCGATTCTAGTTAACAGCATCATTGCAGGAATCCGTGCTTATACAATGGAAGATGTGTGCGAATTTAGGAGTATGCGGACGTCAGATTTCTGCTCTATTTTCCCGTCCATCCATCCTTTCCTTCCCGAAAAAAATAACACGCGCAATATTCTAACATCGCAGGTGCTGCGGGTATAAATTCATCTACACCTCCCCTTTTACGTTTTTCCTTCCTTCCGTTCATCCTTCGTAACGCGTTTAGTCACTATCTTCATCCTCTTCATCGCTGTCTTCGTCGCTATCCTCCTCATCTGCGTTCTCCAGCCACTCAACCAGCACGCGACTCTTCTCCTTGATCTTGGAGAGTGTATCATTCTCTGCGGCCCTAGCATCCGTCCACCAGGCGAGAATACCCTCCTCCTCGAGTACATCCAGGTTATAGAGCTGTTGCAGCAGGGCCGCAAGCAGCGTTCCTGCGCGCGCAGAATCAAGCCCCTTAATGGCCGCCAAAGCTTTCTGCAACGCAAGGGCAAACTCAGCGTGGAGATCGACCTTGTTACCGCCGACGCCAACCTCCGTAATGAACTTGACGGCACCCTTCTTGGACGTAAGGGCCCGGCCAGCGGCCTTGGTAGGCTCAAGACCACCGTTTTCGGGGCTCATGAGCTCGGCGGCGCGGGTGGCAAAGGCCACGGCAATGGCCTTGCGCATCATGCTGTCTGAAGCATTGTTGGCCAGTCTTAGACCCATGAACTCCAGCTTCGCGGAGTCGAAGTCCTCGTTGTCGTCAGCACGGAGGGCATCGACAAGTCCGTGAACAGCGTCGCCATGGAACTGGTCGAGCTTCATGGCGGCGGCGGCGGAACCGTCGGACGCGAAGGAGGATAGGCGCTCGCGGTTGGCCTTGGATTGGAAACCGTGCTCGTACTCGTCGTCCGAGAGTTCATCATCGGAGTCATGGGTCGCTAGTGTGGAGATTGACTCGCTTGAAATGTTGAGGCCGGCCAAAGAGTAAATGAGAGAGCTTTGGAGAACTGCAGGGTCCACATCGCCCTCATCCTCGGAGTCGCTGTCCTCGTCGTCTTCTGGCTCTTCATATTGGGCTCCCTTGCCATCGTTTCCGACCAGTTTGATATCGGTCTTGGCCGGCTCGCCTTCACTGGTAAGGAGGGAGATTCTCGGTAGGGGTTTAGATGGGAGTTGTGTTCCCGCGCTGATCCGCACACCGTAGGAGATGAGAGAGCCTTGAGGGATGTAACTGTGCTTGCCGATGACTGCATCGTTGGCAACAATGGAATGCAGAACGGTAGCACCGTCTTCGATCACCGCGTCATCCCAGATATAGCTGTTCTCTATCCTCACATTCTTTCCGATCTGGCACCTCCTTCCGATGATACTGCTCGAGATTCTGCTGCCAGTGTCGACGTAGGCGGTCTTCCCCAGTACGGATTTGGTTACTGTGCTGTTTTTTGCGATGTGTGCGCCATCCTCTAACCACAGACCCCGTTTGTACTTGTAAGTTTGGCCGTGAAGAAGATTGCTATCGGGGACATATGGTAACGTCCAGCGGTGGAGGATATCCTTGCTGATGCAATCATACATCTGGAGGTTGCTGGCGCGAGCCCCGTAGCCTTCCTCAAGGATCTCGGCGCTGATAATCTTGCCGTTCAACTCCCAGTCCTTCAGTACGCCGTGAAGGAAGTTCTTGCGGGGAAGCTCGTAATCGAAGCTCTCGGACCACAAAGCCAAAACATCCGGTGTGCAAATATCGATGCCACAGTCGATCAGGTCGGTGCGCATTTCGAACTCGCCATAGTCGAATACCGACTCGTCCAACTTGACGTACTTGTCCTTCTGAAGTGGGTGCATCTCTTCATATTGCAGACAACGGCCGTTCGTGGGGTCGACAACAAAGACAGGAGTAATGCCCCGGGCCTTTGCAGCTCGGTGAGGGCTGTCTCCTGTTGAGCGCAACACGATGGTCATGCAGGCGTCTCTGTTGGCCTCTCTCCTTGCGCGGTGCCTGGCCAGAATACCGTCGAGGGGGATGTTTGCGACAACGTCGCCATGGACGAGGATAAAGTCACCCGAGATAAGACTGCGCTTGTCGAGATCTCGCAAAAAGTCACCGGTGGAGCTGGCGTCGGACACGCGGATGAATTCGACAGAGGAGAAGGGGCAGAGATTGCTTTCGGGGCTCCATCGATCGGAATCGTTGATATAGGCTTCGACGTCTTCGGAGTGGGCGCCGCAGTAGATGAAGACCTCCTGGACGCCGTTGGAGGCTAGGTACTCGAGCGTGTATTCGATAACGGGCACATTGACCAAAGGAAGGAGACACTGCCGGGAGGAGGTCGTCAGTACGAAAAGGTCACCAAGGGGACAAGGGGACAAGGGGCATAAGGCGTGAAGCATGGAGCATGAAGCATTTACCCTGGGCTTTTCAAGCGCAAAAGGCTGGAAGCGGTCTTGGAAGGAGTCAGCGAGGATGACGGCCTGCAGAGCATCTTCTCTCTTCTCCTCGGCGCCGCCCTTGGCGGGCTTTTTGGACTTGTTGGCAGCTTCGCCCTTGCTGGCCTGCTTGCCCGACATTGCCAATTCTTCTTAGCAGGTAGGACTCTCTACAGAAATGGGTTGACGAGGGCCTGGTTGTGTAAGTGGCCGCGGATCGGAAAAGCGCGGGGAAGACTGTTGTAGTGGGGGGCACAATGTCAAGAGGCACCGGCGCGTTCGAAGCTGGAGTTGACAATGCGCCTGCTCGGCCGCTATGTGGTACCAAAACCTTGCAGTGATGAGTCAACGCATGCTTAGAGGTGGGGTGCGGGGCTATCACCTGTGGCTTGTATGTACCGTCGGTACCTTTGTTGCGTACTAACTGTATAGAGCCTTACAGGTAACTTTCAGTCGGTGCAGTGAAACAACGAAACGGAAATTGTGGCGTTTGTAATTCCAGCCGCATTCGGGCATCCACCATAGTCGCATACCACCGGCACTGAGCAGTACAATACGTAGAGGTAGTGCCTAGCACCTCCCTTGGCTACACAACAACGGCACTTTGTATCGAGGGAAGGTAGGTAGTGTAAATAATAGAGGCAAGTACAATCTGAAGATAGGAACTTTGTCATGCAAGCAGTCTGGCAATCGTCGTAGCTCTTCAGCGAAATAGCAGGCGTGACTGATTGTGTGGGCAAGAACTGGAAACCTCCAAGTTAGTTTCTTTTCCTTTTTCTTCTTGCTTGATGGCCTTGTTCTGTCTTTGTAGACGCTTGTATAGCAGGCCACCTCCCACCTCGCCCACCCCAAAAAGACCACGGCGATCAAGTTGGTGTCTTATCTATACCATGGACATGTATATCAGGATGTCCCAAAATCGCATTTTCAAGGAGGCCTTTTTTCACAAGCTCGATTCGGATTCCAAATTCAATGCCGAGAGATGATCGGCGATCCAACCCTCCCAGTGGAGCCAAATATTGATTTGCGCTAGGAGCCTACAAGTAGTGTATGTTTAAAACTCAAGGGTGGCCTGTTCGGATGTTATCCGAGCTCGAGCTGACGAAACCAAACCACAGGACGCCAAACCCATTTCCCAAGTGCCGACTTTCGCCGTTTGGGTACCTAGCTATCTACCTGTATACTTTTACCTATCGAGTCGAGAAAGCTATGCATGACCACGCCTCGGGGGGGACACAGCATAGGGAAGACACGCGGGCCCTTGGGTTTATCGGTAGAGGAGCTCTTAGCTCGCCAGCCTCACCACGTGCTGGCTCGCGTCCTGACGAGGCTCGGAACGATGATGGAATGAATCTTACCCGACTGGATTCCTGCACAACGAATCCAGCACCGTCTTCTCACGTCCACAAGGCGGGCGTCACGCCGCCGGGTGCATAACGGCGGACCGCACTAGGTGGGTCCTTAGAGTTCTAGACCGTAATCGAACATGCAGCGTACCGCATCTGGGGTTCTTGATGGATCCTCTAGCAAGCGGCTCAGACGGGCCCGCCCTCAAGACGCCGTGAGGGCGACCACATTCCCGATGCCATGCGTAGCTAGTCTCATTTACTCAGCTACCTACGCATGGCCCTTGCGTCTCTTTGTACCTGCGGGTTCAAATGGTTGTAATATCCCTACTACATTTACCTACCTACTAATCTTAATATTATACCATTTGGACCTATAAGATAAAGAGACGCGGCTATACTGTGATCTAAGACTAATATAGATAGAAGGGTCCATTGTACGCAAACTAGTTATATATCTCTAATTTATCCTATATATTATTATACTACCTAACGTAATTATACGCTTTATACGTACGCCCTATACGTATATCTGATACTATATATTTATTAATCCTATCCTTTCTTCCCTCTTCTCCCGCTCTTCTTAATATTAATAATATACTTACGTCCTACTAATTATATTGGGTAACCTAATTAATTTCTATACTTATATTTCCTTTACTTATATTTTAATTATTATATACCGACCCCTATTAACAATCCTCTAGCGAATTTTCTAATAAACCCTTTATATTTAGGGTAATACTTTGGGTAGAGAGCCCTTTTTTAAGGCCTTTAGAGTAAATATTTCTCGGGTAAATACTTCGAGTAACGATTCTAATATTTTAAACCCTATTTAAGAATTATTCGAACGTATTAATATTTTTATTAAAGATCGTTATCGGACGAATTTATAGTAGTATTTAATTTACTTCTATATTTATTGAAGGAGTATAATATCCTAGCGGTATAATAAGCGTTTTAATATATTTCCTAACGCTTTTAAGGAATTTATTATATATAAGGTATTTTCGGAAATTAGTATTTATTTATACTTCGAATAGGATAATATCAACCTTCCCTCTAACGAATTTATTACCTAATTTTAAATAAACGAATAAGTAACGGAACCTACTATTTAATTTCGAATAAACGAATAGGCAATAGAAAAATAGAAATTACCCCGAATATATTTCTAAATTTCCCTCCGTATAGAATTTAAATTGCTTTTATAGGAATTAAAAGTAGTAGGGGTATTTATATTATTCTTTACTAATAAATTTATTAATAGTATTCTTATTATTAAGGACGTTTCTAATATTATATAGATTCGTTTTCATTTTCGTTCCGTATATAGAATCCTAATAAAAATTGCTCCCGAATTAATAGAATTATTTACGGCGCTATATATATAATAACGCGCTTACTAAGGCTCTTATAAATTAAAGGATAGTACTTGGAAAAAAGGGGAGATTTATATTTTCGTAATTATAATATCGTTTATTATTATAAATTCCTATATATCCTAAATGAGTATATTTATTCCGAAGCTATTTAATATTTACTTTAAGAATAATTTTATATAATTACGCATATATAATATATTAGTCTAATATAATATAGTTTCTTCGTATAAAGTTATTTTACAAACTATTAATCGATTTATTAATATTTTTATAATATATATATTTAAATTTTATAAGGGTAGATTTAATTCTCCCTATTAGAATTTAACGCCCCTACATTCGTAAATCTATTTATATATTTATATAATTCTAAATAAACTTTAAATTCGTTAGTTGTAACCCGAATATAGTTATTATTTATAATAATTTTAATTTTGTAGATTATATAAAACGTTTTAGTATTGGTTGGAAGAACATTATATAGAACTTTACTATTTATTTCCTTATTGGTAATCCTAATATTAATAGCCCGTTTATAATATCCTAATAGCGTTTATATATTAAATTCGAATTGGAATAATTATTTAATTATTTGAGCGTTATGCCGCTATCCTTCGATAATACGGCCCGTTATTTTACTAAAGGTCGATTAGCCGCTATATTCGGGCGGAAATTAGAATAATCTATCTTTCTCTTCCTAGTCGTTAAGCGACCGACAACTGCTAAAAGCTATATTTTCTAAATATTAGCTATTATAGAAAATAAAGGTAAAATCGTTAGCGTTTATCGTCTATATAATAAATTCTTCTTCGATATTTTTGATTTAAATAAAGATAATTTCGGCGATCGACTTATTTTCGTCTATAGTAATTAAAAAATGATATTTTTATCCGCTATATTATCTTCGACTAATTTAAAACTAATTATATTTATAATTGTAAATAGTAGATTCTTATTATATTTATGTTCTTTTATATCTTTATAAATTAGATTAATATAATTTTTCGTATTTTCTAACCCTTAATAATTAAAGATATTTAAAGTTTTAGAAGGGGCGTCCGGGTAAAATAATATAATATAAAATTCTACGACGGTAGGTATCTATTGGAAAATATATTTGCCTTTAGGATCCTAACTTTTCTTATTACTAGGCTCGTCGACTATAATTATATTTCAAAATTTAACCTTATTAAATTCTTTATGTACCGAATTATATTAAGCGCCGGGAAAGAATTTATTAATTGGTAACTACTTTTTATCTATAATAAGGTCTTTTTTCTAACTATTTAATTTAGGTATAAAATGCCTTCAGGGACAATAAATATTAATTATTATAATATTTATCGTTATTTATAGGTTATCCGTATTTTTATAGTATTTAATAAAACTATCTCTTTAAAGGATTACAGCATCCTATAATAAATAATAAACCTCTTTCCTATCCTATTTTATAGTAGTAAATTAAGTAATTATAAACTTAAAATATTTTATTTAATAACTACTTTACCCCGAAGTTATAAATAAACCGTTCGTTAATACTATCTTACAATCTAATATAATATGATATTCTACAATTAATAGTTAATAAAAGGCGATTAGTATAGTCTTCGAATATATTAACGCTTTTTTTATATTCGATATTCAGTAAAACAAGAATTCAATTTACAATACTAGGACTATATTCGTCCAGCTTTCTACTATTAGCTTATATACTATAGCTATCCATAAAGTCATTAAAAATAATATACGAATTTATCAAACTAATAGATATATAAATCTATTTACTAATAAAAATATTATTAATTATACTTATATAATATATTAGAATAAGTAAGTATAATAAAAATATACTAATTTCTAACCACCCGATAATTCGGAATTTAATACCCCTAATATTTTACAATTCGGACTTATTATATTATTAGAATTAAAGTTCGATACCTTTAATATAAAGGAAGTCCAACCTTTACAAATAAATAAGTAAATAATAATCCGAAACCCCGAGAGGGTTATTTGGTAAATAAAAAGGGATATAAGAGAAATAATTATCTGTAATAATAAGGGCGAACGGATATATTTTAATAATAGCGTTAATTCCGATAATGATTTTGTATAGGCCCTTTCTAATTAATCTTTAAGTATTTATATAAATTAAACCGAAAATAGTTTAGGGCACTATTAATATAGGCTAATCTCGCGCAAATTTTGTATTTTGCGGAATTACTTCGAAGATTATATAGTATAATAATATTTATATAGGGTATTAGGGCTTTTAAATATAGAATTTTTAAAAATTAATGGGATATTATAGTAATTATTATTTAAATCCGATAAAGGAGAGAAGAAAGCATTAATATATACTAATATTCGTCTAAACTCTGAAAAATAATAACGAACTGGTATTACCGGCCTCCGTAAGAAGGGAAGCTAATGTATATAAAGGTTAGCGCGTTTAAAATTAATAGGGGAATTAACCCTCTATTCTCCTATTAGTTTTAAACCCCTATAAGGAAAGGAGGTTAATATATATAAAAGTTAACGCGTTTAAAACCAATAGGAGAA